GAGGCAACAGTGCTACCAACTGCGCCACCTTGCAGCCCCCTTTCCCCCCAAAAAGTACAATTCTGCACAACAAAAATCTACACTTTGCTATTTAAAACAGTTATTGAGTATTCAGAACAGTGAGAGAATTACGAAAGAAATCACCAAAAATGATCAGTTATGTTTTAATTGATCGGTTTATTTCTTTGTTTTAAATACACTGATTGCCATCATCCACACTCTCTTTTGGTCTGGACATGAGAAGTGACATGCACACATTCACACATTTGAAATAGCCGTACCTCCCTGCAACATTCATACTGACATTTTACAACATTCAACATGTTAAAAAACAGACATGAAAAATCATATCAATGGTATAAAGTTTACCACAGCCTTTAAAACAAAGAACATGGCTAATTGCTGCTCACCACTCACCCTGAACCAAGCCATAGTGTTAGAAAGTGGGGGAAGCCGAGAGTCCCTGTGCGCAGAGCATTTTGGACAACAAATACAGAATCAGGAGAAGCCTTCTGTACGCGGTTGACAAATTTACGGCATTCATTTTAGTTTCCTTTTCTGGCAATCAAAAACTTCAAAACATTGGACTTGCTGTTACACTTGCTGAAAGCAGCTTTTTTCTCACGTGCAAAACAAACAAAAAAATAAGACTCACAACTTTTGACAGAAATTGGCTTGCCAGATCAGGGACTGCATGGCAGAGCTTAAAAGTGCAACAGAAAAGAGGTATATTTCACAACAAACAATGCATTGCTTTCACCTGATTCTCTACATTTTTGTCACCAAATCATTTCAAATTGAGACATGCAAAGGATTACTTTCCATCCCTCCTTGACAGCCTTTGAGTGGATTAATTTGGAGACATAAATATTGAAGTTACATGTATAGACAGATGAAAAGACATACTTACATAATGCACCACTCACACACATATTTACACAATGGCACGGGCCTGCAAACCCACAACAGTACCCGAAAACCACCAAAAACCCAAACAAAATCATTAACAGCATCTCTTTAAGACTATTAGAATATATGATACTCGTAAACTTTTGGCACTGGTTTGAGCATGGTTACACTGGACGGTTTTACCTAAAAACACGGTTAAGTAATGGTTTGATTGCCTGAATCTGGCTAATTTAGAAGAAGTTGGTCTCATTTCAGTAACACTAAATAAAGTTCACCTCTCTGAGAGTGAGTTGATGTGGCTGGTGTGTTTATGATGGCTAACACAGAAGATTTGGCAACGTTCTGGTGTCAATGAATGTTCAAACAGAGCATGGACCAAAATCTTTGTGGCATGTGAGGTGAAATTTAGCCGAGTGCAGATAAAACAGAGGTCAAAACAGCCTCATGAGGCTGACGAATAAAACGATTGTTCCACCAGGAGGTATCCAGTGGCTCCGTGGAGCTGTAGGGGTGGCAGTGATTTAGAATAAGCATCATTATGGTTTCAGAATGGAGGTAAACTCAGCAGCAGTACATCAGAGGGGTTCAAAAACCTTAAAGAGGTAATTGAAGTGAAAATACTGCCTTGTTATTGCTGGTTGATCTGACAGCTCAATGATATGGACTAATGGACACAGCAATGAGACCACCCTTTCTTCTTTTACTTACACCCTCCAGACACAACTATAAAATTTAAAGCACACCAGCTAAGTCTGGTATCTGTTGCAGTTCTTGTGCATTTCTTTTTTATTATAGACTTCATATGGAGTCTTCCATATGGTAACACACATCTAACTGATCTAAACATGCATAACTGGATCTTCATGGAGGGAAGCTTAGAGCTGACTGAAGGATCAAAGGGAAGGTCTTTAGTACACTAAAACCAAGCCCACAACACTGGATCTATCTCTAACGGAGAATGTCAGGAACCAAACCACTGACATTATCACAAAATGCTCGTATGACTACACACACACTTCAGCTACCAGCCAGACTCATGTGAAATCGTTATGTACTTCAAATATGCCATACTCATTTGCACATACAATATATGAAGAAATATATTTATTCTAAAAAAAAAAAACTTTTACTCAAATTCAAATGTGTTTGAACCTTTGCATTAGAAACTTCTTGATATATTTCACTGATAGACGCAGTATGTCTCTGATATTGTCACACTGACAGATCGCTAAACGCTACAGACGTCTATCTGGAAAGAGCAACACAGTCCTTGGTCACTAAAATGTAGTTAAGAATTAACGCTTCCTTCAAGTACCAGAGTAAAGCGTCAAAAGAAGCGAAACAAAACTGCTAATGGCTAAATATATGTGTACATGTGTGTATCTGATAGGTGTTTTCAGTGTTTATCGGTTGATTGATTAACCGGATTCCACTCCTCGTTCTTGTTTTGGTCCCTGTTTTGGCTTTAATGAATGTTGCAGTTGCGCTATTTCGATAATTTTACAATGACTGCACAATTTAACACAGTGTGCTGCATATTTTTGTAAACTGAAAGCATACATGTATTGTTTTTTTAAACATTATTATTACTATTTTGCCACTACTGCCTAAATGAAAAACTGATACTTGTATGAAGGTGTGTGTCTGAGTGTGTGTCAGTGGAAGTGTCCCATGGCCTCAGCAGCCTTCCCCCTCACCACAGGATCTGGGTCTTGGAGCAGCATCACTAAACCTGTGAGTGAACACACACCAAAATACAGTTAAAACCAGTGAATAAACTGCATGCAAAGTGATTTTTTAAAGAGATCAAAGTAGTTCCTTGCATCACCTTTAGTGATGGTACCCATGTTGAGGTGGGAGAGATGTTCCTCTTGAAGATTCCCCAGCAGGAACCCTGATGTTAAATACATTGTCATTATAATTAGGTCTTAGCATGTAGAATCTCATTTGTAAACTGCTTAATTTGCATATTATATACGAGGTGTGTCAGAAAATTTCCAGGACTGGTGTCACAGAAGATATATTTCAAACCTAAACTACAAGTTTTCCCCCGCAGACGATCAATCAGCACGTCTACAAAGAGATCCTGCGGTGTTTGCTTCATTCAGCGTGCGAGACAAGGCGAGAGTTGTGGCAGGACAAGTCGTGGCTGCTTCACCATGACAACGCGCCTGCTCACAATGCCCTGAGCATCCCACAGTTCCTGGCTGAGAAGAACATCGCCGTGCTGGAGCAACCTCCCTACTCACTCCACCTGGCTCCCTGTGATTTTTTCCTCTTCCCCAAGCTCAAGGGCGTCATCAAGGGGACCCGTTTAGAAGACGTGGACGACATCAAGATGGCTGTGACAACAGAGCTGTGGAGGATCCTGGAAGAAACCTTCCAGGAGTGCATGGCGGCGTGGCAGAGAAGGCTGGTAAAGTGTGTTAGACTCCAGGGAGATTACTTGGAGGGGGAAAACTTGTAGTTTCGATTTGAAATATATCTGTTGTGACACCAGTCCTGGAACTTTTCTGGCACAAACCAAACTTACAGAGTAGCTGCTATTAGTGTGTTGATATTGGAATAACAAACAAGAACTAATAATATCCCTCATTTTGTGTACAGAAAAAAAATATTTTGCATCTTAAATCTTCTGACTTTGTAAAGAATTTAGGATCTAGAGTGGATGTGGAGTTAGAGTGCTGCAGTACCTATGAACATGGCTGCTCCTGCTCTGACCTCAGGCCAGTTGCTCTTGAAGAATTGGATGACTGAGATGTGGTAGAAGTTCAGCATACCAGGAAAGTCCTGAATCTACAACCCACAAAACATGCACTGAACATCAAACAAGAACAACTACCTGTTATTTAGGTTAACAATCTAATGAATCAATGTGGTTGATCCTAAAAAACACACAATTGTCCTCATTTCGCCATGCTTAAATTTGACTGTCTCTCACCAGGTATTTTGTGAGGTCATTGATGAACTCTCCATAGTGCAAACTCTTGTCTTCATGCAGGTGGTTCTGAAACATGGTTGTGATCTGCTCTGATCCCACCACGGGAGCACACACACGCATCGCATATTTACACGCCTGGAAACACGGAATCAAAAAAGTCCATCTTTAAATGAAATGATGTAGGAGTTTGCCCTCCACAAGTGAGAGTTATCCAAAGTAAGGAATTCAAACTACTCATAAAGTTTATGTGTGTGTGCTTTCCTACTGTACCTTGACGACCTTCAGGTTTGGGTCAACCAGGTGCAACAGCAGGCTGACAAGAACATTGTGGATCTGGTCTTTGAAGACTGACTCCCCTGAGCCAAACTTGGACAGGTTCCCCATGAGAAGGATGGAAGCACAGCGGATATCGTCATTCTCCTGGTTGAATACAGAGTCAGAGGGTACAGTTAGAGTTGTATGTGTCTAAACATGACAAAAACTATTTTCTTACATGACTGAACAGAGGAACACGACCTGACCTCAGATCTGACTGATTAAAATAAAACTATACTGTATGTTGCACCAAAGCTGGAATAATCAATAAACTACTCCAGCAGTGTTAATCCTTTCACATTTTTCTCACTATGGGCTAATTTTTCACTGTAATATAAAGTCCTGCACGTCTGTGGAAACAGTACAACCATGGTTAGAAGTGAAGAGAACTCAAAGATGTCTTCTGAGAAGTAAAACAAAGTTATAATGCCATAAATCATAAAAAAGACACCTGTAATCAATACGTACAACACTTTTCAATCTGCACACACAATATAGATATTTTACTACTTACTGTTTTTTTTTGTTTCCATACTTGTCTTTTATCTGTTGTGTGTGTGAACACAAATTGCAGTTCAGCCATAAAGTTACAGAATTTTTGTTTCCTAACTTTTACACACAGCTGAGTCACTAATGGCTTCATGGTTACACCGAGGAGTGCAACTTGTTGTTTTTCATTTTCTTTCTGTTGGTTCGAGCAAAAAGCTTGTTTTTGGCAAATTTTGAAATGCGACAGGTAGAATTAAAGATTTTATGTATTTAACCGTATTTTTCGTTAAATTCTCTGATATCAAGGACCACTGCAATGTTGAAAATGTGATGAGTCTTTCTGTTGTTAGAGTTTCTGGCTTAGATTGATGGTGTAATTTTGGCTTTTTTTTGTTTGTTTAGAGGGGTAATATAAAACACACAAACATATAATCTTATTTTTGAGAGTTATCTTGAAAGATTAAGAGCAAACTTACACTTTCCAAAAATGGTTTAATCTTCATGAAGATGTAGACCACAAGCAAGTGGACATTCTTCTTGTCCAGGTGGAGGAGAACTTTAGACAGACCAGACATAGCCTCAAGGGTGATCAGTTTACCTACAGAGGACAGCAGAAATTGTACGAGTGACTAATCCAGGGCGACTGGCTGAATATGTGGTATGATAAACATGATGGATGTGGTGACTGATAGTAAAACATCTAACCAGTACACTGTAAGATTTAGGAATCAATAGAGCTAGAGTAAACATTACAGTAGCTTTACCCTTTCCAACAATTGACTTGTTCACTCACCTGGATCATCTTTCTCCTCCATCCCTGAACTCATGGCTGCCAGCAGCTCTTTGGCATATTTATTCACCTGGTGGAACAGGAAAGCGAGACAGAGAAAGCTGAGTGACCCAGAGTCCATGCAGCAGCACCTACAGCATATGTGCTCTTATGTGTTTGCACCTTTTCAGGTGATCCCACGGCTATGTTGCCCAGCCCTCGCACAGCCAGCATGCGGACCGTGCAGCAGGGGTCTGATATCCTCTCCATCATGTTGTTCATCAGCACATCAATTAACATCAACTCTGTCACCACATGATGGCTCAGCAGCTGGAGTCAAAAAATAAGAGAGAGATTTTAAAAAAAAAATTTAAAAAATAAATAAATAAAAGTTGTGTTATTAGTTTTCTCAAACTGCTTGTCAGCATTCTTTATAATCTGATAATCCATTTGGTTTCATAAACTAAATGAAGGTTAGTGATATTAAAAAAAAATCACCTCAGAGAAGAAAGCAGTGACAGTGACTCTCTGACATTCATAGATGTTGTTCAGGGATGGACACAGACACTCCACGATCGCAGGCAACCTGGGACCAGCATGTTTAGCCATCGCCCTGTAATATAACATATATATATATATATGTGTGTGTGTGTAAGGATAGTGTCTGAGTTTAATTAAATTTTTATAATTAAGCTTCTGACATACTCATTGTCAAAGACAATTACACAGACCTGGACCCCTGATAAACATGTACACACAGTTTCTTTTAAATAAATACTTCAAGTAGTTTGGCAGGATTTCCTTGAAGTATCAACCTACTTTTAAGAATTTTACTGGTGTGTATTTCTGACGAGGGCGTCCTCTTAATGTCTATGTGTGTGTGTGTCTCTATACCTTGCTAGTAGTGTGACTCCGTTGATGTGTGTGCTGGGTTCCCTCATTGCATCCCAGGCATTATCTTCATCCAGTCTTTTCATCACTTCATCTAACTGGGCTCGCGCCAACAAAATTCTCAGCGCATCGGCTGCTACCCTGGAACAGAAAAAAGGATAAAGTTAGACCTTTCAAAAACTAATATAATACATTTCATTAGCCAAAAAAAGACAAGGATGCCTACCCTGCTACATGTATGGAGGCAGTGTGTTTAGTGTTGCTGTCTTTCGGTGCCGAGACTCCAACACTTGCTCCCAGTCTGACAGTGAGGCAGGAGAAGAGCTGAGGAAACAGGCTGACTGCTGGCTCCTGACTTTGGCCATTTAATAACAGCTCTTTGAGACCACATGTCATCTGAAAATGAAAACAGACACACAAACAAATGCGGAGAATTGAGATTTATCCGACATCCATTTTGTGCAAGTTGTAAAAAATAATCAATACAAAATTCAACAACAGCACCTAAACAAAGGACAAAAAAATCTGAACCTCTTATGACAGGCTTCAACCTTAACGCACAGAAGGGACGCGTGAGTCTGCGTAAAGTAACTGTGTCTGAATATCAGCGCAGTCAGTGACACGTCTGTTTGAGACTTACCGCCAGTGGCTGATTAGTGGCCACCTTTGTTGTCCCTGCTCTTATCATTGAGTCTTTCTTGTCTGTGTAGGGCGCCATGATGAGAAGTTTTTCCATCACCATCTCTATGATCTGATTGGCTACGATGGGGTCTGCTCCCAAAGCCATCCACATCTCACTGGTCCAGCTGCACAAAGAAACAAATAAACTTATGCGTCTTCCAATGACATTTTCCTAAAAACTCCTAGCACCAATAAAATGTAGGAAATTCTTGCATCAGTGAGTACAAAAAAAAGCAACTGACAATAAAAGAACAGTAAACAGAGCAGTTAATATATTTTTAATTATTGTATTCATACCTGTCATAAGGAAGTGGCTGGTTAACTAGTGTATTGATAACAATCTGGAGATGCTGAGAAGCCAGGATCAGTACCGTCTGTCCCACTGCCACTCTCACCTAAACAGCAGCACAATGTAACAGTTTTTCAGTGCGATTTCATTATAAATCGACCATGTATAGATAAAAGAGAAACAGAGAGTCATTAGGTAGCAATAAAAAAAACAGACTAAGATAGAATTGTGCCACAAACTCTTTATTCTTCAAATTAAGCCTCAAAAGTGTAATAAAATCTCCAAGTCTTTGTTATTATAAATATAATATGAGAACAAGAATGTTTTTGAAGAATAAATGTTGTTAACGAATAATACATGGATAATCCAAGATATGACATATGAATATTTGATACCATGTATGTTCTTACCTGCTCTTCTGTGATGTTCTGCAGACGCACATGTAGCACCTCCAGCATCTCAGGGACCTACAACACACAACATGCAACAAACAAATACAGACAAAGACACAAAAAAACAAACAAGAGCTGTTTATGGTAATCCAGTACAGCAGCTGTGTCTCAAACACTTGATATCCAGATAAATATATAATCATAGACCTGAGCACATGCAGAGAGCTGTGTAAGTGTGTAAGTGTTACCAGATCTTGTAATCCACCTCCTCTGTTCTTCAAAAGAGTATTTAAGATGACAGACGAAGCTCTGCTGCAGTTTGTCTGACTATCAACCAGCCCTTCAAACAGCATGAAGACGAACGTCGTAAGCTGCTGCTGAGGCAGACGCTTACTCATCACCTGACGCACACAGAAAAATATGTTGTTAGATGCAGTTATAGGACATAGTTAAGCAGAATAAAAGTAAAGCAAGAATTGCAGAAAATGTTTGTTGTGAAGGACCAAAATAAAGGACAATAATCTACATTTGCAATGAAACACAAGTATTAAACATGTTTAACTATGAAGTTTTTTTTTAAGCCTTGCTTAGTGGTACAAAGTGTACCTTGGTAAGGTCTGAGCAGGTCTTGTAGAGAACTGAGTGGTCAGGGTTCTCTAGCCGATCTTTAAAGAGCAGCAGACTGTCCACTCCTTCGTCCTTGTAATCTAAGGAGAATCCTAGGAAGCAGGAACAGTTGAAAACATAACATTAAGTCAACACATTGTGCAGACAGTGTAAGTTGAATATGGACTAAATAAGTATTGATAGAAATTTTTATTCAAATAATTGAAAATATGCTGCACAACAACATAATTGTTAACAGACTGGTTTCAGACTAGCCAACCCCTACTCTGCGTCTTTTCAAAACTCTGTACAACAGACAAAAGACAGGGCCATGACCTAACATTCAGACAGACTTTCATAAATGAAATAACAATTGCTCTAAAAATAAACAATTTAAATGTTAAAAGGTCAGTGCCCTACACGTCTGTACCTTCATATCGTAGCTGTATATAAAGTAGTGAGTATATACAGTCGATTGCAGCAGTGCGCACAGTAGGGTGAGGGTCAGAACAGCGGGGAGACAGTCGACCCAGCAGAGCTCCAAGGTTGTGGAAAGAGACCATGTTCTAAACAAAGATGCACAGAAACACACACAGATGCACAGAAATAGCAGTCACTGCAAATGCGGGTCTCACAAAGTGAAGACAAAGGATATTAGGTTTGTAATAATTTAGGCTTGTAGCAGTTAATATGAAAGTCGTACATTTTGCATCACATGATCATGTCACAGTTTCTGCAACTAAACATTGTGCTGTGCAGGCCGGGGAAGGAGAAAGTAAACGATTGGATATGATTTGATGACAGATTCAGTAAAGAGTTATAATTGTCCATGCAGGCATGTGTAACTATATATGTGTCATATTCAAAAAGGTCCACAATATTAATGTGTTTGTGCGTCTGTGTACCTTGACAGTTAGGTTGTCCAGATAGTACGCCAATATGTGAGCAGTGGCTGTGATAGCTCTCTCCCTCTCGTGGTCCTGTCCAGAGCTCAGCCATGATTCAATGTGCTGCACAGGACGATAACACATCATAACAGACACGATAGAGACACTAAATAATACAGGCAGCCAGGGCACCGATTATTTATGTACAGCAGTTCACAAAAATATAACTGAACAACAAATAAAGAAGTCAGAGAGGGAGACACAAATAAGATGGATTTGTGAAATTGGTGTAGACGACAGGACTGCTTGTGTAAGCACAAGTAGAAACTAAAATAATAATGCTGTGGCAGAAGAAGAGCCTTAAGGCGTTCAAAAATAAAAATTAAATACTTTTCAAAGTTGTGTTTTTGCTAGAAAAAAATAACCCTTTAAAAAATAAAAGTTAAAAACAAGGGCATTATGCTACAGTACAACAATGAACTGCACAGAAAAGCAAAGCTAATCAGACTTAAACACCAGCTCTCACCTTAAAGACACTCTGCAAACCATCAGGTGTGGGATCCTTGGCCACTACACTCTTCAGCAGCTCCTGCAGAGCAGCGAATGTGTCTCCATACAATGCCTGCACAGATTTACCAGAACACATTAGTTTGACAGAATGACAGCATTTGGAAAAACATCACACATGGTTCATATAGGTTAACATGGATAACTGAATGACAGGGGTTAGGAATTTAGTTGAGAGTTTTAAGATTAGCAGACTTAGACTACTGTAATGGTGCTGCTGATTTGTGACGCAGCACCAACACTGTATGATGGGCACAACTAACTGTATGCTGTACTTCACCTTTCTCTGCTTGGGGTCAAGTATCTCTTCTTCTTTAGTTTTCTCTGGAGTGCTTGTCTCAGGTGGCAGAGACAACGCACTGTTCACACACACCTTCAGCAAGTCAAAGCTCTCATTCTCACTTAGTGCAGGGTCCAACGGCCTGAAGCACTCAAGTCAAAGATACAACATTGGGAAAAGAATGAACCTCCACAACAGTTTTGTGTGATTAACAAAATCAATGACCATTCATTTTAAGTCAACCAAGTGTCGGCTTATATTTGTCATCCGCTGTGTGGTTCTGTAAATATCATTAAAGTTTAGCAAAGGAATTCCTTGAACTGAAATAATTACATACCTACACATGATATCGTCAGGGTATTATTATGTAATTTCAGACTAACGCAAAAGAAACACCGGCTTAGAAGTCAGCCTTTTATACATATGACAACAAAATGTCACAATACCCATGTCTGGAAATCATTGTGGTATTAAACTGCAAAGTTCAATTTTTTTTCCTGAAGTGAAGGATACATGAGGGCAGCACAGGCATTCATGACGAGATGGCGTACCGGAGTCTTCAATGAATCAGCTGGCTCTGCCTTGATAAAATCCTGACCACGATAAACATTAGAGGGAACACAGGTTAATTAAAAAAAAAAGAAAAGAAAACATTTTTATACTTGCAACTTTAGAAATTGCTGTAGAATGACAAAAAAGTTGTCCCTTTATTTGTCTATATACTACTGACCAGCATTACAGTGATGAGCTCCTGCTTGCGAGAGAAGACGTAGCCTTGTTTCTTCACACACTCACTGATGGCTTTGGCTATGAGCCCAACACTCTGGATCAAACTGAGTTTCATAGTCAGGTCCTGGATTAGGGCAACACACACAAATGCACAAAATACAGACAGACAAAAGATATACAAAGACATACAAAATTTAAAAAAAAGACATGCACAGAAAAGAAATTGGTGTCAGGAGACATTTCAGAAATTGTCATGAATGTAAAGAACAAGATGCACTGCAGCCCCCTTTAGCAGATGCAACTCTACAAATTGATGAGCAAAAGCAAAAAAACAGGCCAAAGTCACTCCAGTAATACAAAAATCAACCAGTCCATTAACGATTTAAATGAATCCAATCACAACATTGTAGATTGGCCCTCCATGCCTATGGATGGAGAAAAGTTTCAGTATTTTGTGATTAGAGGAGATTGGTGCAACAGCGAACCATCTGCAGGCTCTGGTCTAAACAGTGACAGATGAGTTTGAGGCCTGGAGACATAAGAAGTTGTTAGATTTTAGCAAGAAATCACAAAAGCCCGTTCACACCGTGGGTGAGTCATTGGTGAGCAATTTAAGAACAATCCAACTTCAAGCAAAAGACCAAAAGAAAGAAGAAACAGAATCAACTGTGAAGAATACAGTAAGATGCAGTTTAAAATGATTATTATTTCTTTATAGGATAAATCTGATTTTAACTTGAGCTTGAGGAAAATAAGAAAATCTCCACTGAAAGGCAGCTTGTGGCAGCACATGGTAGTTTTTTAAAACTATTTGCATCACACAAAAGCAAAATGTTAGGAGCTTGAAGCTGCATGACGAATAAAACGTTGTAAGATTTGCTTCTTTGACAAGGAGCTCTCCTTTGAACTCCATCAGAAGGAGTTAAGTATTGCAGAAGGAATGTTGGTTCTTTATCAGCTGCAGTCGATAAAGTTTGCAGTAATGGCTCCATTTTTAAATTCTTTGAATTCTATTTGGGTCAAGTAACGGCCAGGCTGTAAGGGTGATCGTAAAGGATTTCTGATTTTGTCACTGATGGAGTGATTCAAGACATTTTGATACTTTCCTGTGGTAAAAATTGGTCACGATTGGATTCCATTAGAAGTGACTAAATTCAAGCTGATCTCACCAATTGTTCTCAATCAATATGGAAATGACAAATTTTAAACTGCCACCTTATAATCTTACACGGGGCTATCCTACATATGTACATAATCTTAGTGAGGCATCATTTCAACCATACATTTCACTGGGGTAGAGCATTTCCTTTTATTACAATGAGCAACAGCTATAGTCAACCTGTAACGTTAGCTGTGGTCAAAGGTTTCTACTCGATATTGTTCCCACATGTAACACAACATAGGACCCTTTTTGCTCTAATAGTAATAACTGAAAAATAAAACACAGCCAAATTGTGCTTTTAAAACCAACATGGGTTCCACCACAGCAGACTCCTTTTTAATAATTAATAATTCATAAATCCCTTCAAAAGACATGTAGTCCGGTGCTCTAACTACTGTGAAGCTTCATATAGACACAGCTGAGATGAGTGAAAGCTTAAAGCAAAAGTAGTTGTTTGATCATTAAGACTTTCAGGTAAGATTTTAGTGACAACATCACCACAAATGTGCTGAACAGAAGGTAAAATTCAGTGAGAAAAGAGAGCAAGATGAAACTCCAGAAATAGTTAACTAGCAGACAACGACGGAAAACTCAGATTCCCTCCTCTCCTTTAACGATACCTTTGTCTCTACTTTAATCCCCAGAACCTGTATGAACAAGAAGTGATAAAGTAATGAGCATGCATTGAAATACAGTCCCGACACCTGAAAGATGAAGGTGTTATACCTAATATGCTCCTGACTCAATGATGAAGTGTCCCTCAGGTGAGTGTTTCACTTAAACATTTTTAAAATAGGATACCTGCTGTATTGGACAAGCATCTTTGATCGAAGAAAAATTACAAATGTTGTAATGTATTTTATTAATCCATTTACTACAAATATATCCAGGAATTACCCTAACATGTTCACACTATCTAAAACCAAATTGGAAAATGATTAATGACCGCTCCCAGATTGATCATGCCATCTGCTAATGGCGCATTGTTAATATGGGACTGAACATCGCAGCAGTCAAATTAGCTGGATGAATGACGGCTTTAATTAAATCCTGTTTTAAATTAACATGCTAACAGCGTTCAAAGAGACGGGATCAATTTGGAGAAAGAAAATGTACTTGAAGCAACACTCTGTAACCACATTCGCTGAAAAGATCTTGTAGCTCAAAAGAGTTGCTACTAGCAACCATACACTAGATGCCCGCTGAGTAGACTAAAATGAGATCCAAGCTGTAGAATATTGTGGTATTGAATGGATCGTTCATATAAACTGTATTAGCACGTTAATTCAACACTGTACAACACAAGGGATTCAACTAGAATATAGTAATCTAATTTGCATTACAAACAGGGTTGTTGTTCACTCCTAAAATGGACTGTATTTACAAAAGCCATTTGAATGATGGGCAACATTTGCCTGGTTACTGCACATGATATCAGAAGTGGACCTGTTTAGATTAGATACACCAACACACTTACACCACTATTAGCTTGTGCTTCACAAACTGTTACGATCACTTCAGTAATACAGGAGTGTGTGACTGTGCGCAGCAAGATGTCAAATTATGGGATCCGAAAACCTCAACTAGAGACTGCAACTCATGTTTCTCATCAGTATCATCACAGTTTGGAGATTCTCTTCCCAAACCACCCCTCTACAACAACCAGGTTTACTATATCATCCCTGCCTTTCTCCCTGTGCCTTTACATTACCTTGGTGTTGAAGTGTTTGCTGATGCAGCGAAGGATGTCCTGATCAATGCGGTTCAGTATCTTTTCTGGAGGTGCGTTCACAGCCACCTGACCGTAGCACAGGATTAACGTACTTTTCACCTTCTCCACCTCAACATCATTACGTTCCTGTGGTAAGAAAAGACAGGAGAGACTGAAGCTCTTTTTACATTAACAATGACAAAATAAAAAAGATCAAAAGAATCTTGTCAACAGTTGTTTTTACTTTGAGCAGGTTGAAGATGCTTGGTGATTTCTTGAAGGCATCTGATTTGCCAAACTCATCCAGCTTGGCTAGAGTTCCTTCTAAGTGACTGTTGGCACACAGACCAATGCCCATAGCAACACCCTGATAGAAACAGATGGTGGAAATCCAAAATTAAACCTTAAACCTGCGCAAGTGTGAAAACCAATGGCATGTCGTCTGTGAGAGAAACAGCCATGACATCTGTGTACCTCTCTTTCTACTGCATCATTGTGTCGCGCCATGAGAAGGATTTCCTGCAGCTGTTTTTTCACCACTTCTTTATTGAAACACTGTTGGAGAGTCACTCCTATGCATCGATACAGGAAGCTCTAAAGATGGAGACAAACACAAACTGCATTATTGTCATGTATAGTATATATTTTCCTTGTCAGTGTTCTTCCCCTATCATGTTGCAAGAACATGTCAGGCCAGGTTCATTACAGGTGTTCGAAAATCCTAACAGGTTTTGAAATCAGGTTGCATCCCACACATGGAGAATATTCACAGACATTCTCTTAAATCTCTAACATGCACACCCTACAAGATTGGAAAATAATGGCACATTACACGATACATACAGGACATTACTTAGATTACAATGCCAGCGGAAGCAGTGTGCCACCACCAGATCTTATGGTAAAGCAGATTTAAGCAAAATAGAGAAAGTGGTGCAAACACTTGCTGTAATGCTAACAATATTTTGCAGTGAGGGAAAAACAAAAGCAGAAAGAAGGTGAACTGGAGCTGAGATTTAATATTTAAGAACCATTAGTGGGGCCTTAGCAACTCAATTGTTGGGTGAAATAAGACTGTTACTAATAATAAAGCACCTACCTTCTCCTCTAAGAAGTTGTTATATGTGGAAAGGTATCGTGTTGACTCAGCTGCCAACTGACACGACCACTTGTCATCATTAATCGTTGCCAGGGTTTTAGACAAGAGCTGGAGACAAGTTTAGCACATTTAGAAGGACATTTCACGAAATCAAGTCAAATTTCAATATTTCCGTAACAACACAGACAAACAAAGCCGTGGAGTTTTATCGTATAAAAAAACTACCTACTAATGGTTGCAAACATCTTTCGGTATCTTCACAAATAAATGGGAATTACCATAATATGGATACATTGTAGTAGGAATAAAATCATATTCACACATAGAAGAGCACACCTTCAGTAGCTTCTCATCCCACTGCTTCTTTTCCAGACTCTCTGCCGTTGACTCTGTTAACAACAACACACAGTCAGACAGCTCGACTACCACTGTGCAGAAACCTGCCCCCTAGAAAGGCATTATTACACATAAACGCTGGTTTCCTCAACAGCCATTATTCATTGTAATTATACACATAAAAAGATTATATTTCCATACCCTCTAGTAATGAAAGCAGAGGAGGTATCTCGCTGTCCCAGACCACCTCTGTTTTAGGGTGAATGTTGGTACTGAGGACCTGGAGGAGAGAGAGGGATGGAGCTCCATGACCTCTGCTGCTGAATGGAAACGCTGCATTCACCTGGAATAAAACAACAAAAGAAAGTCAGAAACACACATGACATGAGTTAAAATTGAATATTTAAAGCAGCTAAAAATATTTGTAGAAATTGTATATTACAGTAATAATAGCTTCAGACTGTAGCTGAGTCATTACAGGGAAAATACTGTAATACTTAACAACTGAAGATTAACTACATATATGCTACTGAGGAGTATTTAGCACAACTAATGTAACTGTCAAGTTATTTATTACAATTTGTTTCTCCAGCCAGTGTTAAAACTAGATGTTCAGCAGCTACATTCTACACTGTAGATGCAAAAGTAAATCCAGTATAGCCTGTGCTCTTAATACAGTGGCTCACATTGAATTCACCAGAGTTTGAATAATGTATGAATGTACTTACCAGCAGTCTGATCATTAGTGTTTGAGGAGATGACAGATTGACTGGTGGAATAAAGAAAAGACACTTTTAGCTTAAAACTGATCATACAGAAAAGACAAATCACCACTTTAAATGCTGTTTTATTCCACAATCACACCTCCCATTCCAACACGGAGCCACAACAGCAGATAAATGTCACATTTTACATAAATGAAATGTCATGTTTTACCTACCTTCTTGTGTAAAGTCTATTTGGAAGCTGGGTTCCTGGTTGCTCTTTTTCTTGTTGCCCAGCACTATCAGACTCTTACAGAGAGGAGTCGTGGCATTGCTGTACTGTGCGGGGGTCAGATAGTACAGCAGCTTGGGCCATAGCACCTTGAAACGACAACATATACATGTTAAGTTTCTCAGCAATTGATCTATTTTACATACGCAGTAAACTTCAACTCCTGAAATAAAACAAATTCCTAACCAAGTACTTGTGAAAATCTGGCTTTGTACATGCACCACAGTGAAATAAAATCTTGATCAACACTTGTAGGTCATAGATTTTCTCTTAACAAGGGAACATGATTATGGATACAGATGATTATTTATCAACAGATCAGATGGAGGTAGACAGACAGGTAGACAAGCAGACACAGTACATACATCAGCTAGTCGTCCAACAGTGGTGGTAAGGAGGTGAAGGGTGTTGTCACACATCATCCTCAGAGCCTCATTAGTCACCTCCTCTGGATCTGTCAGCCTCTGATTTCGCTGGGGACAGACGCACAGATTGGAATAGTTATTTTACTTTGACCACCTTCAGCAGCTCCTCTGTGATGCAACATTTTCAAATCTGAACAAACAGCTTCTTGATGTGTAAGATCCATCTGCAACATCTCTAATCTGTGGTGTTAGGACCTCACCTTCTGTAAACATGTTAGCTGCGGAACTGCACTATGAGTTAAGAGCATTTTTTCATTCCATACAATTCAATGACCTCATGTATGTATAATACTAAAGACTATTGGTACTGTATTTGTACTGTACAAAAGTATGCAGTTGTATATGGTTGCTTGCATAACAGATGAGTTAGAAAATAAAATATTACTTTTGCTTTATTATTATCTAAGCCACTATACATGAACATACAAACAGTAACAAAATTATAAACATGTTTCACACAAATCTAAAAAAAACACACATTGGAATGAACACAAAAGAGGCTGTACCTGGTATGTGTCAGGTAAAGCACAGTGCTGAACTATGAATCTAACCAGTAGCTCTCCTCCCTCTAACTCCAGGTAGCCGTGATGAGCCATTGCACTGATCACTTGAACCACGCGCTTCTTCACCTGAGACACAGAAATACAGTCAGACACGGTGCATGTAATAAAAGAAGTATGACAATCTGAGCAGCTATTACCTTTAGAGGGAAAATGCAAAAGAGAAAACCCAATTTATGAAACAGCAGATAGTCATGTCGAGACTTTAACAAAAATCTGAGTGCTTCCATGTGTGTTACCTTGTTGCTGTGGTCAGCCATTGGCTGTCTGATGCTGGCCAGAATCAACAGCTTTTTGGTCTCCATTAAAGAAGCTTAAAGTACAGATGTAAATATTCAGTTAGCAAAACAAAATACCAAAATATGTCATGTTTGGGTATGTTATTGTATTTCCTTACTGGCGGAGTTGATGAGGTGCCGGAGCACAGACAGGGAGCCCATCCTGCTTCGCTCATTACTGTTCTCCAGCTTCTGAAGCACAAACATAACCAGACGGTCTGGGAAAGCTTTAGCTGGAGGGAGAGGAAGTAGCAAAATAAATTCAAATGCGAAATGCACAGATTGTCACAGAAATAAAAGCAAAGTTACTGTCTCGCAATTGTATGCCATTTACAGCGAGTGAAATTGCAGTTTACATATCTAATTATGCTTTAAAGTACTTTATTATTTCCTCTGATTAGAAATTTGTGGCAAATTTTGTTAAAATCAATAAATTAATTACTATGTCATGTTTATGTGAGGTCACATTGACCTCGACCATTTTAAACAGTTCATCCTTGAGTCCAACTAAACATTTGTGTCAAATTTTAAAAAATTTCCTTAAGGTGCTAAGAAATATTGTGACATGGACAGACAGATGGATATACAGACAACCAAAAAACATTATGGCTCCAGTTTTGGTTTTGCCAGTGCAGAGGCAAAAAAAAAAACAAGGGCAAAACACAAGCAAGACAAACAAGTTAAGAGAGCGGGCGAGAGAGGCCGACCAACTGTCACAGGTAATATGATTATCTTGTGGTGGAAACTGAGTCTAGCCGACTAATGCATGATCTTATTACTGCTCTTGTGACTCCATAGAACTAAACCAGATAGAGAGGTCTGCTGCTGTGGGACAACATTTAACTGTTAACATACTTTGCTTGGTTCCCACAGACCTTCTCCTTTTACTGTTTTCGGAAGTAGCACAGTTTAAAGCTATAGCAAGTCAATGATCAATAGACAAGTATGACTTAGGTTGTTTTTAAACTTATTATATAAACACATTTGATTTAACACAGAAATAAACACAAAAAAATGTGTACCAAGCAAACTGAAGCAGCGTAGGACCTCATTGTGGTTCTTGACAGTAGGAGGGTTACTGTAATCAACAGGGGCAGACACCTGAGGGATACAAAGGGACATTGTTAATTGTCAGTCAAATAGTAGGACATTCATATTCAGCTTAACTAACTCACATTAACATGTTTCTTTTCTATGAGGTAGTAATAATAATATAAGGAATATGATAAGAATGATACAGGAAAATAACAGTATAAATGGCATACAATGACTATTATTTGTTAGTCCAAGGGAGGAGCTAATCACACAAGGTAGTGAGACATCACCTACTTTAGGTAGAGAATAAATTAAGGACCGCATTTTTAAAAGTCACCAACTGAATTCTGACAATATGTTGCTAAGCAGCTATAAAGTGCTGCGCAATATTCTTTGTCCTCAGGAGCAACCCTGCAATGCCCATGGATCACACACACACATTTATCACTGACGAACTTGTGGTAAAATTTTGCAACACACATCGGGCCGAGTGTCAGCTGAGTCACACGGTTTTGAAAACATCTGACTACAGTGACTCTCTGGCTATCATTTGACACATCAAAAAGAAAAAAAATATACAGATCAGCAACCCACAAGACATAATCTAGTCCACTATTTAGCTACCCAACAGTGAGCTGTTAATTAATTAATTAACTAATTAACAGCAATACCAAGACCCAAAGAATATATTACAGTTGGTGTGAGGGCAACAGATTCTTGTGTTAATTTGTTCTTGGGCATGCCCAGTAGGGTTTTTTTTGTTTGTTTGTTTTTTTCCCAGTAACGTTACAGTAATAGAATAATCACACTATTTTGATAATGAAGGATATAATCCAACTACTTACCTAGCATTTCATTATAACCATTAGAAACTATAAAATCTCATCTTTTAGACAGGTCGGCATTTAGTGTTCTACATCTTCACAATTTTTCATGAGTGTTTGTGTCATGCATCAGTCATGTGGTCGACTCAAGGTTACAGCGGCAGTATTCATTTTAATATGTACTTAAAGCATACCTGTTGATGCAATGCAAAGAGTAGACTTTCCAGCTGTGTCTCCAGTACTCTGCTGCCCATGTTGACAGAAGCATCGATGACTTGGCACAGACTCTGTTCAGATTGAGGACATGAAATAATTAAACTTAGACCAACTTTGAAATACCGCAAGCATTTCTGTACCACATCTAATTTGTCAGGAGATTTTCACAAATTAAAAGCCTGGACACAGTTAATCATAAATTAACACAAACTGTAGCCTACTGCACTGATGCTGCAGCCTATACCCACCTTGCTAATAATGTAGTGCTCGTTGTTTTTCTTGTATAGGGACAGGAAAGCAGGAATAATTTTGGGGATCTGCTCCTCCAGTTTATCACTGGCCATCAGATGGCACATAGAGCCCACTGCCTCAGCCACTGTCAGCCTCAACTAAAACCCACAGAGTTAGAAAGACACACACGTGATGTGGTGAAACTTTAAACATCAGCTAGGTGTGTGCAGTCAGGGAGGAAACAAAAACAGGAACACCAGGCATTAGAACTTAAAAGATAACACAAGTCGTAGTCATTTGTTAACAAACTGCAAATCCACTTGGACATGTCTTCACAGTTTTACACTCTTCTTTAGACATGAGGAATGAACAAAAACAGAAGTGATTACAGTAAATGTTCTGTCACAGTACAAGCGGCTTTCTGAGATAATTTAATAGACATTCCTTTCTGGTAATATTGTTCCAATGAGCCATAATTAACTGTAATGATTTGCCTGCCTTCTGTAATATAGGACGACAGCACAGTGGTTGAATTGTTAGACTCAGTAAACACTGTTTGAGTGTACACTCAATACAACCCCAATCACAACCTTGTGTGGCTACTATGCTACTGTGATCCCACAGAAAATGTACTTTCTCAGGCTCTATCAGAGTGATAGTGGTTTCCATGTGGTTTTACTCAGTTGGGGAAGAGAAAGTGTTGTTACAGTGCATTTGCATTAAGCCATTACAACTTTTTATAGACAATCAATGACAATCTCTCCCTCATATCTGAGAACCTGATTATCTCTTGTGAGTTTTAGGAAAAAAACAACTGTAATAAAAATACATCTTTGGGATTTTTTTGGTAGCACTTGTTGTCTGGAAAGATTCATGTATGACATGAATTGATTTATGGTGATTTTTTATGTTATTTTTCAGGGCCCTGCATTGCGATCTGTCTAACTCTTCATTTCTGTATCTAAAATGCAAAATATCAAGCTTTAAATGACCCATAACAGCTTTCCTACATGCGTGCTTAACCCTCAGTGTCACCCTACAGCGATGTTACCTTGGGCTCCCTGCTTTGTAACCAGTTATTGAAGAGGATGTCAAAAGCAGCATAGATTTCACCAGAGAATGTGTCTTTTCTGACTGTTGGATCTGGAGCCTTGTCTAAGTTTGCCAGGTACTCCAAGATGCTTTCACTGAAGTGACACAGAGCTGGAAGGAGAAAAACACAACAGAGGGAAACAGAAGAGAAGGGAAAGTGAAAAACGCGACATGATAAAACACAGAAACAGAAAAGGAGGAAGTGGAAATTTTGAAGTTGCTATGTTTTTTATTTGTTCAGGCAAAATCTGAACACAGCAACATTCACAAATTCTTTTGAGTGATTATTAGAATTTATAAACATGTTTGGCGGTTCTTACCAGAAGAAAAGACCCACTTCATGTTGTCCTGTTTGGCCATGTTCAGCATGGGCAACATGGTGCCAAGAATAGCATTCAGGAAGGGTACCATGCCATAAACTAGAACAACGAAAGAGTACAGAATTATTGACATTTTATTACTTACCACTTCCCCTATAAGGCAGGGACATGTAGACGATAGGGGGTTTTTTTTGTATGTTGAAGGAACAGCATGAAAATTTCTGCAATTCTGGTGAATCTTATTTTTACACAGTGCATAAACAGAATAAATTCATTAGCAAAGACGATCTGAAGATTATAATGTGGATCGAAATAGATGCAACTCAAATGTATCTCTGTAATGGTACTTTAGCAGCAAAGGACAGCTACTTACTAATGTGTGACACAGACCAAGGTGATGCAAGGTTTTGGGTTTTTTTTTCTAATTTAATATGATTTATTCATTAGCTCTTGGCATTTCTTCACATACCCAAGTTGACATTTAGGATAAATAACATCAGCTACACTTTATAGGTGGGATACCCTAGCAAAAGGTGGCTGAAAAGAGATTTGTTTTAACTAATAGTGTCTGCTTGCTGTGTTTGCTATCCAACATCATCAGTTCAGATATCATAGTTTGAAAACTATATTTATTTATTCAAGCTTGCTAACACAGTTTATACCATTGCTGCTCTTATAGTATAGATTTAGGGAGCATATGAGTACAGAAAAGCAGCTGGCCTACCTACCTGGAGCACAACTGATTAGATAAGCAAAAGACCTCAGAAACTGTGGTTTGGCTTTAATGCAACCACCACTGATCAAAAATAGGAATATATTAATGAGGACAACAGCTCTGAAAAATTCTTACTGCTGCCACTACCAGCACTAAACTGACTCATCATTTACAATCCACAAAGAGTGCTTCTGAACAAACATATTCTGGAGTTGTGCAAAATCTTTGGCCTGTAAATGCTGTTTCTGGGCAGGTTTAACTGGGTCGTGTTTTTCCTCTGAAATCTCTGAATGCCTGCTTTGTGAGCCAAAGTTCTAACTTCCTGGTCTGTATTTGGTCTTCTTATGGCCTTGAAAGTCACATGTGTTTTGCTTTGTTTGGTATACAGCTTCTTACCATTTGAATCTGAGAGGTTAGCTAGTGTTTTGACCACAAAGAAGTGCGGTAGGACCCCTGGTTGAAACTTGCTTAGTATCTCCTCCATGATGTCATTGATGTGCTTGTTACCCACAGCAACCAAAATGTTACTGGCTGCCTGCTGCCAGTCAGGGATGACATCCTGAGTCAACCAGGAACATAAAACAACAGTAAAAACAATGTAAGGAAAATACAGTCTGAATTTTAAGATACAGAGAGCATGTACTTTGTTATGAATAATTAGAATGACACATTTCACCTTTGATCGGGTCATCTCATCTGAAGCCAGGGAGATAATACTTTTTATTCTGGGAGAGCTGATATCCTCTATCCTGCAGCCAACAATCAGCTCAATAGTCTGAAGAATCACAACTCTGTGGCTCACAACCAACTATAGGAGAAGGAGGAGAAGAAGAGGAGGGTGGGAGGAAGAAGAGGAACAAAAAGATGAGGAAAAAATAGCAGACAAGTGAAGGAGGACAGAAATAACAAGATGAGGTTCCAAACACAGAAATAGTCTGTGAAAAAGGACTTCTTAAGTGCTGCATCACTGATGTTTCCTAAGACATTTCCTCAGTGAAATGATGCCATCAAGTGATAATCTCAGGCTCTGTGGCTGTGACAGTACGATAAGATGTTGCAGCATCACATACAGACATAAGCTGTTTCAGAGCTGCATGGGAGCATCTCTAAGTAGAAAATATGCTCACAAACAAACAAACAAACAAAAACAACAAAAAAAAGGCAAAGAATTGAATTGAAGGAGTCTTTTGCCTTTCAATCTCAAACTAGAATGATACATTTTTATACTTTTTCAGTTTAATAATTAGACAAACTATATCAGTAAGGTAGCTCATTGGTTAGCACTGTTGCCTCGCAGCAAGAAGGTCACCGGTTCGCGTCCCGGTAGAGACGCCCGGGATCTTTCTGCAGGAAGTTTGCATCTCCCCATGCGGTTCTCCAGCTTCCTCCCACACAGTCCAAAAACATGTTGAGGTTAATTGGTGATTCTAAATTGTCCATAGGTGTGAATGTGAGTGTGCTTGGTTGTCTGTCTCTAAGTGTAGCCCTGTGATAGACTGGCGACCTGTCCAGGGTGTCACCTGCCTTCACCCTATGTCAGCTGGGATAGGCTCCAGCCCCCTCGCGACCCTATTGAGGATTAAGTGGTGTATAGATAATGGATGGATATCAGTAACTGTACCTACTCTATGGGCTAAGAAGAAGTAGAATTGGTCACTTTTTGCTTATCAGCCATTTCAGTAATTTTACAAGCAAAACTTAAAAACTTCAGCATCTCAGCAATGATGATTTGCGACTTTACTTTGTCTTATACAACTGCAAAATCAAATGGTTTGATTGTTGATCCAACAAAACAAGCAATACACGAAGGTCATCACAGGGTTTCAGAAATTGTGACATTTTGTAGGCAAATTGTTAATCTGTGAAATCACCACATTAATTAATAGTTATTTATGTTGCTTGACCACGATTTGTAGAATTTGATCCCCTGTTTTCTTTGCGATAGAAACGCACAAACAAAAGCTTATTGCTATTTTAACATTTTCTATATGTGTGAACCTCCACTAGGAATGTCTTGACTTCTGCAGCATAACAAGCTGGCAAACCACATGCTAGGCGCTCTGACAGGCCTTTTTAAGTCTGACCAGGTTTAACAGATTAGCAGCAGACTATTGTTAGCTTGGGTTACTGGAGTCAACACATATCTTTACTAAAAGTACATTGTTCAAGCACCACTTTTTTAGTGTCTGCTGAATTCCTGCTTCATGTCAACATATCAAAAGGCAGTATTTGAGAAATTAAATTAAGAGACGATTAGTGGAAGACTTCATATGTAGCCTTCACTTTGAATGTGTACAGTAAGAACAGTCGGCCAGATTGAGCACCAGATGTAGTTCTGATGTGCTGTTGTGGTATTTTTGACACAAAATAACAACACCAGCAGTACATAACACATTAAATATTTACTTGCACATGTAGTCATGCACACAAGCCTACAAGACCCATTTGCTCTCTTCTTGGTAATATGCAGTAGGAGTACTGATAACAGCAGCAGTTGTCATGGTATGTTTCAACAGGCAGCCCTGCTCTGTAGCTGAAACTAACTGTATAATAATGGAGGTATTCAGGGGTTTTACCTTGGGATGTTTCAGGAGGTAGTCCTGACACATGGCTAGCACTCGGTCTGGCTGCTGTTTTCCCAGGGTCAATATAGACTTTCTGACTTGCTCCTGGACCTCGGAGTCTTTATCGTTGGCGGCATCTAGTAGAGCCAGGGTCACCCCTGGAGAGAAAACAGCAGAAAACAGAAACATTTCTGAGTAGAGAGTTGAAAGATGAAAAGAAATGACAAATGGATAAACACTAATAACTAGACAACATTTTAGACAAGTGAGCAAGAAAATAATTAACTACCAGAAAACGACTTGAACAAAATATGTATGACTTTGCATTCATAACAAAAAGAGAAGGGACTCACGCTCTACGTCTGTGTCGTCCATGGTGGACACCAAGAGGGCTGGCTTCCTGGAGCCACTGGTTAAAGATCGATCTTTTCTTCTGGAGCACAGATGGGCAGAGGCTGTCCTGAGCTGATGAACAGAAGATGTGCACATAAAATTAATATACTATCCATATACAGAAAAGCAAGATTCCACTGAATTCCATTTTCTTTTTTAAAATTAGCAATTTGTGTTGGCATTTCCATATGATTTCAGAAAGTATGCTGATTCATCTGTTAGGTTGGAAACAGAAATACTTAAAATGGTAAGTATTTCTACCCTAGGCACAAAATATGCTTGTCTGCTATAACAGCATAAACAGACCTGTGAGAATCAAAGGAATAAATGGAACCCTTGACCCCTGCAGTGAGGAGATCCTGTGGTTCTGTTGGGCCGTAGTTTGCTTTGGGTTGTAGTTGGTCTCCCATTATAGAGGAGAAGGTCATTGCAAAGCAACACACAGTTGTCCAGAGTGATTATCTCTACCCCATGACAACATGTTTTTATCCTAATGGCATAGAAAATATATATTACTATTAACCTCTCTTATAAAATCAGGATGACAATATCCTGTCCATAGGGCATTAAGTGTTACTGAATGGTTTGATGAGTATAAAAACAATGTGGAATCTATGCTCAGAGAGTTGGAGATTCAATGCCAAGATACACTGAAGCTGTTCTGTTGGCACACAGTGGCCCAGCATCTTGCAAAAACACTTCATTATTATTATTTTGTTTCCTTTCAGTTGTCATCCCTCTGTGCCAAACTAGAGTGTTGAAATTTCTACAGTTTTAGTGATTGCAGCCCCTTCATTGACTAAAATCCATGGAAATGTTTTCATTTCAGTCATTTGGATTTCATTTTAAAGACTGCAGCTCGTTTAATTGCAAAAGAGATCATTTCTTTATTATTATTTTTTTTTTACATAAAAACAATCTGTAAATTGTAGTCTAAGCAGATATGTTTCACATACCAAACACACATACTATTGCATATAATCATTTCAAATGTCATGCCTGATTATAATAAATAAACTGCAAACATTTCTTTGGTCACAATTATTTGGCTAGAGGAAACATGACATTTTCACTAAGATTTCCAAGGACATAAAGTTGATTCAGATGAAAGCAGATTTGTGTAATCTGGGCAATATAGCTCTATCAAGAAGCACACAGTCCTTTTTTTTTGGCAGATGATCACTTTTTGGCACAACAGTCTGATAGCAGTCTGCAGTAAAGCACAGAAGCCTTCAAACACACCTGACAGCTGATGCTCATTCACTAACAGACCGAGCAGACAAACCAGCTGACAGTTAAATAACAACTGACACTCACCTGTGTGGCAGTTTCTCAAAATCAAATATTATATGACTAATGATAAGTTAATTGACTTTCCAGGCAAGAAACCACCATGGACCGTTGAGATACATGAACACACTTACGTCACACCAGCTTTCTACACCTACTAGAAACGGATACGAGGCAGCTAACTCGTTCAGTCACTTTATACATTCATGAGGCTGGAGAAGAAGAAAAAAAAGATGACACTGAAGGCAAACACACTTTGCGGCAGTAGCTTTGTAAAACAGACCGAGTTAGGTTATTTGTAGGTGGTGTTAGGATTTAACATTTACCTTTCACCTGCTTGGGAGGTGATGCCGCTGCGGCGAGCTAACCCACTGACACACGTTAGCATGCTAACCTAGCAGCGGCTGCTACGGAAGTGAGGCTAACAACCTAATTAAAAGAAAACTACACCCCCGCTAAGAAGGCCAACTCAACAACTCTACGTGAGCGTCTGGTAAATAATAAACTTCCACCACAGGTGGGATTCTTACCTCGGTGGAAACAACAAGCTTCTCTGTCAGTGGCACAGCTGAGCCTGGCGATTGGAGTCTGTGGCTGCAGGTGTAAACACGCCTGGTCAGTGGTCATGTGCCTCCAGTCAGCAGGAACGTATCAGGCAGGGGGCGGAGCCGAGCACAGCGCTGACACACACAGCTGCTGCAGCTACCAACTAATGTTGTCATGTGGACTGATGTAGTTTTACTGCTTTATGCACACTGCCACGACTCAAGGATATCATCAAATGAATTCTGCTTTTCACTGGGAAAATGGTTTACCCAGCACAGTTCCTGGCTAGGTACAATAATGACTGGATTTGATTTGATCTGAGGTTTTTGTGTGTGTGTTTGTTAATGTAGATGAGGTAGATTGATATGCTGAGCAGTAATAAGCATACTGTAAATACACATCCAATGCTCAGTTACTGACATATTTTTTAAACTAAGAAAAAGAGTGAGAGAACAGACTGGAATAGAGTTTCAATATCCAACAAAAGTGAGTACACCCATGTGCAATATCGGTTCAATGTCAAATAATTTAAAGTTGTATCACCTCAATAATCGCATTATTTCTACGTTGACAAGTACGGTATTTCCTCTTTAGAAATACTATATTGACAATTCTAAATATTCCTCACTGTGGGATTAATAAAGGCTTATCTTATGTACAGTCGTTCTCAAATGTATTCATACCCTTCCATTAAAGAAAAGGCAAAATTAACAATAGTCACTAAGATAACAAGAAATTGAAAAAGTAATAATATTTTTTTTTTAAATGCTAAATTCTAATTTAGTGAACTAAGACATTGCTTTTGAATTGTGGCTGAAAACAAATATTTAAAAACAAATAAATAATAATAATAATAATAATAATGATGATGATGATGATAATAAGAATAAGAAGAAGAAGAAGAAGAAGAAGAAGAAGAAGAAGAAGAAGAATCTGTCCCAGACAAATTAGAGCTCTTTGCTGATGAGCAGTGGGCCAAAATCCAAATACTTGTGAACAGATACAAAAGTCTGATTGAGAGTTACAGAAAACTTGATTGCAGTGATTGGCTCAAAGGGTTGTTCAACAAAATATTAGTTTATGGGTCCCATCATGCTTGTTTGCTTGTTTTGTTGTTGTTGGTTTTTTAAAAATATTTCTGTTGAACCACAATTCAAAATTTTTAATTGGTTCAAATTAGCCTACTGATAGAGTGGTAAGCATGACTGAATGTTTATTTAAAAGCTATACAATGACTGATGCTGTTTGTTAAGGTTCAATTTTAGGTCCTGGGCTTTCTAACATCTACATGCTGCAACTTGTCATCAGGGGGCTCAACATCACTTTCCATATATGCTGATGACACAAAGTCATACATCATCATCAAGTCGTTTAATGACCCAGGACCAGTAGATGGCCTTTTTTTTCTTCTTCTTCTTTTTGCTGTCTTTTATATACCAAGTCACGGATAGCAGAAAATTTTCTACAGCTAAGTCAGGACAAAATTGAGGTTGGCCTGAAATAGAGCAACCCTTTCTCTCTGAAGCCAATACAGACATACTGCTGCATGCTTTTATTGCCTGCAGGACTGACTATTGTAATACTCTATCTGGTCTCCCAAAGATGAATATATCTCAACTACAACTGCGTCAAACCTCAGCTGTCTGCGTGTCGACTAATACCAGAAGGAGAGGACACATTACACCAGTTTAAAGCACTGGCTACCTGTCTACTTCAGAATTGATTTAACGATAATTTTGTTTATAAAACCTTTGAAGTCTGATTGATTAATGTAATCTCTAAATACAGACCTGTTTATTTTAATCTGCAGCTCTGTGAATTTTGTTTTATCTGAAGGACAAATTCATCAAAAAAATGCAATATATACTTTAATAGCAACATAAACTTGACTTTTTTTTTTTTACAGCTTCCATTTTGACCCCACACAACAGGTAAACACAGGTGTTAAAAATGACATTAATGAGGGTTCTGTTCTTCTTTGGTACAGAGGTGCATCAGTTATGTGATTAGTAACACCAGCGTTTATTTTTTATGTCAAAATGACTGCTGTGAAAAATGTCATTTGTCTACTTTTCTTGCACAGATGAAATGCTTAGAGGAGACATCAGCTGCAATAGAAAAAAATATCAATATGAAGTGGTGATCTTACTAGATTCCAAAAAAGCATTTAATAAATGTATCCATGGCTTGACTATTGAAGATAGAAGTGTAGAACAATAAAATGTGTTACACATCACCCAGCACCATCAGCCACACCCGCGGTCAGTAAGTCTTCATTGACAGTTAGACTCAGCCTTGACTCATGCAGTCATTCCTTCTCAACCAAACCCTCAACTTCCTCCTGTACTCGTGCAAAGTAAACATTGGCAAAAGAGCTGTAACAATTTCTCCCTTCTCTTCGTGTGTGAAAGACTGTCACAATGTAAAAGCAATGGACAACAGAGACCCAGTCACATGGTGTGGAAGTGATGTCACAATATCTAAAAATATTTGATGTTCATATTTATTGCGCAAATTAAGTTTGGATTATTCAAAGGCAAGTGACATTCAGAAGTACTGGATGCCACTATTGTGATTTACAGTTTGTCGAATAGTTTGAATGTTAGTCAATCAGTGAAGTTTCTACCCAGCCAGTCAGCTCTGGGGCCTTCACGACCAAACAAGTTCACCTAACGCATTTCATCATCAGGCTTTGCTGAGCCAAACAAACACAATCACACAAAGCAGAGAGGTTTGCAAGTTTGAGAGGCAAGTTTGACACAGCCAGGCTTTCTTTGTGTAAGCCGGCTCGACAACAACGAAAGCCCCAGCCAGAGATTACGAGTATCATGAAGGTGGTTATCAATTTGTCAATTCAATCCAGGACTTCTGAGGGTAGCTATGACTGCTTTCACATAAAAGGGCTGTGTTGGCACCAGAGAACCAATCACAAACAGGAAAAGGCCTACAGCGGCATATTTCTCACAAGAAGAACCATGTAATCCTAATCTAATATGAGGAATTTAACAATATAATACAGGCTAAAAACGTCTTACTGTTAATGCATAAAATAGGATCATCAATTTCACAAATAGATCTGACCTTGTGTATTTATTATAAGTTTAAGTGTCGCTTAGATATAGTAAGGCTATTTTAGTCCTGTTCTTTCAGTCAAACCTGACAGTTTTAACATGGTTTAATTAACCAGCAAGTAAAGAATTAATAAATAAAAAACAGAAAACTGGATAGTAGGCTCAGTGCAAATGTTCTACTTGACTTGAATCTTCTAATCTTCTTCTTGACTGATAACTCTCTTCAGGTCAGAAAAAAAAGTCAGCTGCTCATAAAATGCTGAGGTTGAAACACCCCACGCTCAAGTGGTAGTCACATGATCTGTCACTGTTACAACATGAATCATAAAAAGTAATACCTTTAACAACTACAGGTATGCATGTTGGACAAATGCGCATTTTCTGTTTATTTTTTTAGCAAATCATTTCGAAGTGAAATGGCATCACTGTTACAAAAGTGTATTGTGCCCTCTTGTGGTTAAATTGAGACACTGCCCCTGAAGTCAGCCTGTCCTTAGTTATCTAGTTTGTGTGGCCTGACAATATATGTTTTAATTGATAAAGGTTGTAGTTTGAGGTTTGGTTTTCCAGAATCACCTGATTTTTAACCAGTAAGGTTCAAGGTGCAGCATTCAGTTTAGTTACTTAGTTATTTAGTTACTTATTATTTCTTTCTTCTAATTCTACTTTTAGAATCTACGTTTGTTGCTTCCACCGACATGATTGAACAGAGTTTAAACTGATGCTTTCTAATGTTTGTGTTTGTCTGATAATGTTGTTTGTATTTTTTTTTTAATGCAATAGTAGGAATAGAATATAGTATTTTTGCTCATGTATGAGTATCATACATATATTTGTTCATATATACATATACTTATACATATACATATACATATATACAGACCATCCAGCACCAAGTGCTTTAATGTGCTCTCAGCTTTGAGGAATTTCAAACTGAATTCACCTTTTTATACCCAAGTCAGAAATTAATCAAGCATAACATTCAACCACTTAAACACATTTTTCTGTTCATAAATGCAAGTCAATAACTATAATTCTACATCTTAATCAAGAAATAATAATGGATGTTGCTACTTTTTCAGTTTTTTTTGTAAAACAGTAAACTTGAAAATTCATGGATAAAAATTGTATTTACGTTGTAGCATTTCCCAAAATAAAATCTTGCCAAGTAGCCTTTCTAGCATCCAACTGCCATTTTTTTTTTATTATTCAGAATATTTATTAGAATGCAATTTTGGTCATTGTGCTACATTTAATTTCATATTTATTGAACAAAGACATCTGTCAACTGCCAGTCAGGTTCACATCTTGACTCATGGTTTTGTTGTTTGTTTTCTGACCCCGATTCTACCAAATACAGCGTTTTCTATTTTAGCAGCTGGCTGCTGTTTACAGAGCTACTTTTATCTCTTTTTAGCAGATCAAACATGAAGAAATCAACTGAAACCACTGTTTGCCTTGTTTATACACAGATGGGAAGTTTAGTTTGGGGACAAATAAAGAGTTAGGTATCAGTTATTTCCTCAGGAAATTCAATGCTTACACTTCAAAAGGCCAACATAAGCTCACTGTGCCAGGAATTAACAATTGGAGTCTTAACATTACAGCTGTGTGGCTTATGTCAAAGCGTATAATTATCTTTGCTGCTAAAATCTAAATAAGCTGTGAGGATGAGAGCTGATTGTTCATCGTGCTCACTTGGCTGCAGGTTGCCAAATCTATAAGCGTTTGAGTCACCACGATTTGTCTGTTAGGTAAGTGTTTGGTGTGTTTGTTTGTTTTCTAGTCAGTACAACTGGTCTTCAGTAGCACAATTGGGCAGTCGTACACAGAGGTAATATCTGATGTTTAAAACAGCAAAAACATGAAACAGGCAGTTGTAGCTCATTAAAATGAACTTTGAACACTGAATTGTGAAATTTGAAAGGCTGCCTGAAGTAGATGTGATCAGAAACCCTGCACTGGATTTGACAATTAGCCATCTACTTAATTATTATTTTTTTTTGTCTTTTTATAAAATGAACTAATTCTAATCATCCCAATTTCTCTGATTAGAAAGTGTATTCATAAGAATTGTGAGTCTGTCTCCAGCCAACACAGCAGAAAACATTTTCTGTTTGTGATTTAACTGTGGAGGCTCCAGCCCCCCATGACCCTCGTGAGGATTAAGCAGTGTATTGAAAATGGATGGATGGATGGATGGATGGATGATTTAACTGTATGTGATGGAGATACTACTAAAATTAGGTAGAAACAACATTCATTTAGGGATCATAAGAAGCGAAAAAGCTGTTTTACAGTCCAACATTTATCACAAAGTTGAAAGATGCAACATGTGTATATACAACAATATATGTACAGTGTTAAATACAACAGTACAACAATCTCAAGATGCTGATGTCAGGAAATCTGCAAGCGTCTTCTTATCAGAAATATAACATAAGTGTTAAATGCTCAAAACATTTTCATGTGAAAAATACTTTTATTTATCCCAGAAGGGAAATTCAATAATATATATGAATATACGTGTTGACTGTAAATGTTAATACTATAGCTAAAATTACAAAATAATTTACATGAATTCATTTCTTCAGGTGTAATTATATTTCACACATTGATTATTATTACAGGTACTTTAAAGATGGTTCTCAAAATAAAAGTTGCTTTTCATTAGTGGTCCTTGTTAGCAGCTGACCATTTAAAACTTTACACAAAAAAAGTGCTTAACAGCAAAGCTGGCTATAAAAAGTCAAATACGGCTTTGAATTCAAAACCTCTCATGAAGAACGCTGCTCCTTTAGTTATGGTTAAATGGATAAAATAAATACAGGCACATATAACTGTACAATAAGTGTAGGGCTACTTTGGCTTTAACGGTTAATAAAGCTGCAGTATAATAAAAACTAAAATGTCGACTTACTGATATAACTGTTAGTGGAGCTGCCACAGGGAAAGAGTTAGTAACACTAAAAGGAGATTTGAAATAAGCTCTTGTGTCTGTGTAGCATTCAAGCACAGGAAGTAAACATTTGTTGTGTCATGTTGAAGTTTTTTTTTTTTACAAAAGCAATGTGACGATCATATAGATAATTTTACCCTGTAAAAAACAGACATCAAGATTACCCTGTAAAAAGACTTTCAGCTAATCAAAACTGAAGCAAACAAAAACACCAATAATACTGCAAAATCTCCAGTCTGTCAGTCTTCATATCAGCTGGAAGTGTATCCTCTCTGTCCAACAGCACCACGGTCTGGATGAGCCCAGTTTAACACACAAATGTGCCAGTATGTTTGTTCCTTTCCATGGTGGATAGTGGTGATTGTTTGACTTTGTCTTGTTGTCTGCACAGTACATGATCACTTGTTTTTTTATAACTTTGCTTCTTGTTTCTTTATTCTGTTGCTGGTCTCATGCATCAGTTGGCAGTTGTCTATTTGGTTGTGTTTTCCTGTGGGGGGAAATGTAATTGCTAAATTACAACAAACAAAAAATGGGAGCATAAATATGTATAGAACGAGTTCATGCTTAACTTACTCGTGTTTAGTGAGCGGGGCCTTGTCACAAGTGACCTCAGTGAGCTGCCCGGCCTCCTTGGTGAGTGTCCCTGCCTGAATACTGCCTCTTGGAGTGGATATACCCTTCAGCTTTACTTCTCTGCAGCCAGGACACACATAAATATGTGAATTATGAAGATGACACACAGACAAAAGTATAATATAAAATATACCACGCTCTTCTGACTTACCCCTTAGTGGTTCCGTCTCCTTCTTCGATCATTTTGAGGCCTGGAACCTTCTGTCCGAACAGTTTCACGGCGATGGACATGAGCAGGCCGCAGCGGTTTCTGTAGCAGCAGGTGGCGTCTACCACCAGGAATACCAGCAGGAAGATCACCATGACGATGCTCACCACTGTGCCTTTAGTCATGCTGCGGTTCACTTTGATGGAGGGAGAGAAGAATAAATGTATATGAGGTAACTAAGCAAGCAAAATGTAACGTCATCATAAACTCAAAGCCTTTAAAGCTGCCTGAGTTGAAATCCTACTCTAACAACAGTCTGCTGTGTAGAGGCATACCAGGCTGCTCCGCAATGGTGAAGTTGAATGTGGCAGGTATAGAGGAGCCATTAGCGTTGATGGCTGTCACTTCCAGTTGATAGTCTGAGCCGAAACCCAGGTCTTTAAGGGAGATGGAGTCAGCACTGGATGACAGCTGCATTTCTTTCCACTCAGTCTTGTCTTTATCCTGGAGCAAAAGAAATGAAACAATCAGTCACGAGAAATTTTATTATTAGAAGCACATACATACAACTTATAATGTCTCTCACCTGTTTGTATCGAATGTGGAAGTGCAGCAGAGGGGTTCCGCCATCATCCACCTGTTTAAGAGGAATGGCGAAGGAGTTGCCTTCAACTTTCATCTCAGGAGACGACAGAACTGGGGAGTCGGGTTCACCTACAAGCAAGACGTCAAGAGAAAAGAGAGAATTTACAACCAAATTGAACACGTAACTATTGCATCAAGTTGTTTCTGATTTCTTAGTTTAGTAAATAAAATAAAACTGTGAGCTCTTTACCTTCTGCAGATGGATGACAGTGGATTACAAGGCCATCAGCAGCAGCATTGCATGAGAAAAGGAAAAATAGGGATGGCAGATGAGAAGGAAAGCCTTGCTTGCATTCATGTGTACCACATATACAGCCGCATGCATATTGCACACTGTGCAACAACAAGGGATTTATATTAAATAATGATTAATGTAAAACACACACCTCCTATCCAGTTAATGCAACACATACATGGCAGTAATGATGGATTGTATGTGTGTTGTTAGTGTTTGTAGCTAATGTTAATGATGGTGTGTGAGGAACTTACGTATTCCCTGAGTGCGAACGCTGTTTGGTTCCGAGAACTGTCCCAGTCCCACTGCATTCAAGGCAGCCAAACGTACTGTGTACAGTGTGTACGGCTTGAGGTTGGTGATCGCTAAAGAATCTACACACACAAAAAGAAACACAGCATCAGCTACTGGATATAAGAAGTGTTACCATGTATGTATTTATATAGATCTAAGTTGCAAGCAGATTAAAGTATAAATGATGACTGATGCAGCTGCAGTGCCACTACAAAGAGCAGACGTTTTACCTGAAGCTGGGACTGTGGTCTCTTTCCACTGTTCTGCTGGATTTTGCCTCCACTGCAGGACAAAACTTCTGATTGGGGTTCCTCCATTGATGGGTAGGGTCTTGAGGGAGAAGAGAACTGAGGTCGGGCCCGGAGAGACTGAGAGGTAGAATGGTGGCCCGGGCTGAGCTGTGGGTCAGAGGACAAAAATAAATCTCAAAAAAACTTTAAAATACATGTCAGATGCATGTTTGTAAGTAAAGGATGAATGTACTTTTCTTTCATTCACTGCAAACACAAGCACTTACTGTATATTGCAACATCTCGAGAAGCATTTCCAAAAGAGCTGACGGCCATGCAGGAATACAATCCGCCATCAGAGGGCACCATGTCATCAATCAGCAGCACACCGTCCACCACACGGACTCGACCGGAGGTTAAATCCTGACAAGGAGAAAGAGAGGAAAGCTCAATTAGTTTATCACATAGGACTGAGCATATAAAATTCTGGCCTCATGCACAGAGAAGCATATTTACTGTACATATCACTAAATAAAGCTTCTGTAAATGCAAACATTCAGTAATTGTTAGGAAAATTCTTCAGTGGAGTCCTAACTGCTCCAAATCAATTCAGAGTTGTCTCTTTAGTCAAAGCAAAGTTTTACTTGCAGCGAGGAGCAATATGTACAGCACAGAGTCTAAACAAGTGACTAACTAAAAGCATCAAGCACTGATTCTTATAGACAGAAAACAGGAGACAACCTCCTGCAAATGTATGTGATAAGGCATGGTGTTTTGACTACCTGCTACGGACGTCTTGTCGTTATCTCACACTCCCAAGGTGAAATAGAGGCAATGAGCCTTTACAGCATTCTCATTCTTTTCACAAAGATCATTGGATCATAAGATAGAATTCTTCTAGCAGTAACACATTAAGGACTTGAATGGAGCATCAAAGTCATAAAAAGGAAAACAGTTTAATCTTGAAGTTAACTGTACAAATTATTGCATAAAACCATAGCTTGCATAGTTGTGTGTTGAAGTGTACCTGTCCTCTTACCAGTGTGCGTCCGTTGTGCTTGTTGAGCCAGTGTAGCTCAGGCTGAGGATGGCCAGACACATTGCAGGACACAGACACCCGCTCGCCCGTCAACACTCGCTGCTCATCTGCTGACACAAACACCTCTGGGGCCTCTGAAACGAAACACATCCATCGTCATGAAGGCAACCGAGATTTTAAAGAAGCACGTTTCCGGCTGTGACTAGAGCACAACATGCAGAATCCAACCAACCGAAGACGTGAAGCATGAGAGCAGCGCTGCTCTCGGCTAACTTGTTGGTGGCGGTGCAGATGTACTCTCCATAGTCGGCCCTGGCAACGGACAATATCGTCAACTGGCTGCGGTCCGAGTTGAAGTGATGACGGGAAGGGTCAAACATCACGGGCCTGGGAATAGAAAAAACAAAAGAGCAAAATACTATTTAATCATACAGCAATTTGTTATTTATATGGAGTACGGGACAGTAGGATGCAGATGTTAAGATAGGAGAGGCCAGAAGAGGGAGGCAGAAGGAAAGCTGGAGACGACAGAGGCCACAGAACATTAACTACGCTGATAAGGAAATTTCTTTGCCTCTGTTTTGCACGCATGCCTACACACACAGAGCAACCTTATCCTTGGATGCACGTGCACTCTACTCCACCCTCTGGGACACAGTGTTTACACCACATTAGTAAGATAGAGAGTCAGGAGAACCGGGCGAAACATCAACGCCAAAATACCCAGCTATGATGCTGATGGGGAAGCTGTCCTGAGCCAAGGTTGGAACTGAAACTAATACATTACTGAATTCTTATTGAAAAAAAGAAATACATCTTAATGACCTGAGAATAAAGGAAAAAGATGAAGTGCAAATCAAAAGTTTGTTAAAAAATGACAGAAAATTAGAGTGAGAACAGGTTGTGCCCATGTTATGCTTATAGCTTAGATCCGGTCTTACATGTTCCAGGTAATGTTGGGTTTTGGATGGCCGCCTACTAAACACAGTAGTGAGACGTTGGTTTCAGGTCCGGCCATCACTTTTTTCACCTCTTCCTTCAGGCGCGCAGTAGGAGGAGCTGTAGGAGGAGGCCATATTTTAATTAAATTTACAATAGGACAATTCTGCTTTAGATTTAGTGATAGAATTTCAAATCCTTGAATATCATGTAAAAAAAACCACATATATATATACTAACAATTGATAACAACAGAGACAGAGAGATCCTGGTAGATGGGCCTTCCTCTGATCTGAGCACGACACACGTACATCCCACCATCCTCTCGCTCCACTTTTTCAATAAAGAGCGAGTTGTCACGCATCTGAAACACACGTCTTCCTCCTGAAGAGAGAAACATAAAGGCAAAGACAAACATTTTTGAGTGGTGTGACTGCAGCTGGACGAAGTAACAGCATCCGTTCTACTGCACAACAAAACAAAAGTGCTGCTTTGACACATCCATCAGAAACATTCAGGATATCTTATTTGACATCCACAGAGACCGTTGCTTCTACTACGACTCTTTTTGCAAGATGTCAAAATAGCAATTCAATATGGGTAAAAAAATAAAAAATAAATAGGAATTGCTTACTCAAATATAAGCTAAATTATTAGATAGAATTTTAATTAGGGTTTGGATCTAATGTATCACAGATAACACTAGCAAATGCCTTGAGACATCCATCCAACTAGACATTAACCACTTAGTGAGGCATCCAGCAGTACTGAGTGGAGTTTGAATCCAAAGCCAACACAGTTTTCTCTGGATTTTATATGATGCTCACACTTATTGTGGAATAAGAAGCTCATAGCCAGCTCACATAATGTGGAAAACTTCTAAAATCAGAAAATAATAATAAGTTATGGTCTTACCATGAGAAGAGATCTCTTTTTTGTCTCTGAACCAGTGAACATCCACCGCCGGCTGTCCGGTCACCAGGCACGGCACTGTCCCATTTGTGCCTACCAGAAACTCATGATAGGTGGTGGTGCTTCCAAATGATGGACCCTCTGACCACAGAAGACAAGGTTAGGATGCTTACGCTCTATGCAATTAACATCTGCACATGCTCAACATAATCAAGATTTCTGTCAAACAAAATAAATAAATTAAATAATCATAAATAATCTACACAGGTTTAGCAGCAAAAATATGTGTGTAAAGTTAACTGTTACTTACCATAAACATAGAGCGTTGTCTGAACTTCATCAGTGTGTCCGCTGTCAAACTCACACAAACAGGTATACCTGCCCGCATTCCCCATCGTAGCCTTCTTAATCACCAGCTTAGAGGAGGTTTCATCCACTTTTTCCACAATTTCCTCATCATCGATATCCACCCCGTCCTTCTGCCATGTTATCTCTCCGTCTCCGCCGGCTAGGACACGAGAGGAGAGAGAATTATTTTTAAACATTAACAAGAAGTTTAAACTGATTAGAGTGAGACGACTGGATGACAGAAGAGATTCTCGTTGAATAGTTTCATTCAGAAGAAATATAAATCACTCACCTTTACACAACAGTAAGATTTCTTCTCCCACGTGAAGGTCTTGCTTACTGGTAATGATGTCCATCTTAGCGTCTAGAAGAAAAGAACAGGAGTTGAATATGTATGATATACTGGCTCTCAACTGTTGTGGCTTCTTGGTTAAACATGAAACATTTAGTGGTCCTTGGGGCTGATCTGTACTAATGTTTTGAACTCCTTTCCATTCCACTCCGGCACTCTGTAGAGCAGTTCCAAGTTAAAATTGCAGAGATAAGAGTTTAAATTTTTATTGTTTCATGATTTCTTTGTAAATTCCTTAAAATTTTTTTGAACAGATCTCTGCAAAATTCAACAAAAATCACATTTTAAAATCCCAAAGGTCGACAAAGATGACAACTGTTTATCTTTTTCAAGTTGTTCCACAGGCAGAGTCTAGCTGAAAATGATGTTTTCCCTGTTTATACAGTCATGGAATCTTTAGATTTGAGACAAAAACAATCTGATATTGGCTATTTCCTGAATTATTTCCTGCTTACACTTGCACACAGTCTTTCATAAATGTGGTGTCTATCAAAACATAACATTGCAGCGCTTTATTTCTTACTAAAATCATTAAGACTTTCCACAGATCTTACCAGTGCTGTACACCAGCAGCAGGAGCAGCAAGGCCGTCCTCAGGATGAGAGCCGACTGGTTCATCATGTTCACCTGGCTGAAGGTTACCTATCCTGGAACTCTTCAGATCTGAACTGAACACTTTAGCTAATCTAATTAACTAATAAAATGTAAGAAATCAGCTAGAAAAAAATAAAAAAATAAATCTGCTACCACACAAATAAAGCTGAAATATCTGTCGCTCAGTGTCACACTTGTTGGACACCTGTTGTTTCTGATCCACCTAACACAGCTGTGATAGAAACGGGGTCTGTATCAGAGGTTATATAGGGGCACAAGAGCAGCTGAGATTAGAGGAAATGAGGAGGGGTGGGGGAAAAAGAGAAAAAAAAACTGTGGTCTCTAATCTCAACACAGCTACTGTCGGTCATTCATGAGGAGACATAGGAAGAGATGACTGAATGACGTCATCCCCCTCCTGCTGCTTTTCTAAATCTCTCTGCATTCACAGTACACACAGTATTCACTCTATACCTATCCATTGTCTCTATCTATGTTTTTCCATATGTTTACCTGTTTTTGTTTTATTTTTTCTTCCTCTCTCTCTCTCCACCCCCCCGCCCCCCCTCACCTTCTCCACCCTGTTCCCTGCTTCTCCCTCCAGGCTACCGGATGAAAGCAGGGGAGGCAGCCCTCCAGGGGATGAGGAGATGGAGAAAGATATTTTTATCATTCCATCATTTTTTCCTCTCTCATTTGAAAGAAAGTCACATTCTTCTCAAGCACAAGTTGCTCAGACAGTACGCCAAAAACTCCACACTGCCACCATTCCCATTTGCTGAAAACATACATCCTGTAGGATGCTGAAATCAGCAAACCTCAGCAATGCCCGCTCTACTGCCAAGAAAACATTTTCTTAACTTTGCAGAACAGCTTGTGTGCGGTGATTCTAAACAAGCAAACAAGAAAAGACAATTTAATTGCTGGCAAAGTACATTTCATCATGTAATTCAAACACAGGCTTTTGTGCAAGAAGTCAAATCCAAGTCAAGTCAAAATAGTTTAATCAAAGTAAAACTCTGTAAAG